TTTTTTTTTTAATATCCTCAGATTTTCATTAATATTTTTAATATGTATGTTTAAATTAATATTGTTGATATTTTAAAATTTTTCAAATAATTTATTTCATTAACTTTCGAATAGTATTGTTGGGTCATTGATGATTATTTATGTTAGAGTACTAATTCTGAATACGCGGTTTTAATAATAAATAAGCTGTAATTTCTTATTTTTACGAATATAATTAACCTCCATAATTTGTAACATTGTGTGAAAGTTATACATTCTTTGAAAATTTCACATATTTTGTCTGCTCATTGCTTCACTGCAGCAATACAGCATTACAAAAGTACCAAATGACTCATTAACAATTATTAGTTTTTTAGATTTTAATTTGGAGTAAATACTAAATAAAAACTTTTTACTAGCATTAAGACAAATATTTCTCTTTTTTGTGCATTTTTGAATCATTTCGTGCATTCTCTGCATTTTTGCATCCTTACATTTTCCATAAATATCTTATATTTCTCATAATTGAGAATTTATTACTTTTACTAAGTAATTTAACTTTAAATTATTATTACAATCTCCAATTGGTCAATGATACAAACTAATATGTACGAATGCAAAATTGACAATATAAGTATTTCCTTACATGAAATAAAATAAAACAAAAAGAAAAATCTTCATGAATCCAGGTCCAGCAGAGTGCTTGTTCCACGAATCGTACTTCAGTTTAATGAAAAGTGCATTGAAACCTAATGGAATCGTTTGCAGTCAAGCGGGCACTGCATGGTTGAATCTCGACCATGTGACGCAAACTTTGCAACACTGTAAATCTCTATTTCCGGTTGCGTCTTATGGTGTTGTTTCTGTGCCTACCTACCCCACAGGACAAATTGGATTCGTGCTCGGTGGATTAAACCCTGTAAGTTACATTCACATACGTATTTTTAATTTCTCTTCTCATGATTATTTTTCTAACGTGAACGTGAATAAATAAGAAGATAAATAAATTTCCAGGAAACGTGCTTCAAAGAACCGAAAAAAATTTTCAGTCACAGCGAACTCGATGAAATGAACATGCGATACTACGACGACCAAATACACCAAGCCGCTTTCATTCTTCCAAGGTTTATAGCAAAAACATTAAACGAAGCCCTTACGAAGAAATAGCCATTGAATTCTATTTCTGATGAAGCAATCAGAAATTTTGTAAGCAAGACTTTTGATACACGAAGAATTATTGTAAATGCGTTGGACTACCTCGAACCGTAGAAATTATCGAGATCTTTTCATACTTTGAACA